CTGGTCTTCAGCAAGCCATGCTTGTCGTTCGTTATTCGTTCGTTCATGAGTGAGTGAGTGAGTGGTTTTATGCCGCTTTTTAGCAATATTCCAGCAATATCGCGTCTGGGAACACCAGAAATGGGCTTCACAGATTGTACCCATGTGGGTAATCGAGCCCGGACCTTCGGCGTGATGAGCCAACGCTTTAAGTTTGTTTGAACCACTAGGCTAACACGCTGCCCCGCTTGTCTTAAGAGGCAACAGGGCAGGGTGGTCAGATTTGCTGCCTTGGTTGATGCATGTCCTCGTATCTCAGTTCTATAGATGAGTGCTCATGATGTCAATCACTGGATTGTCTGGTCAAGGATTGATTTTCTACAGACTGTTATCATGTAGCTGGAATATTGCTGAGAGTGGCACAAAAAACAGCTGTATTCCAGATGCTCACAGAATGGTTATGCTGATCATTCTTGAAAATAATATTTCCTTGAGTTCACATCCCTTTGTTACATCCATTTAACACATATTTACCACTGACAATACTGACAATACGATACAGGTTACTGAAAGGTAATGATAACTGTACTTTTAATTATTAACATTCTCTATTAATAACTGCTGTCCTGGACTACTGCTTAGTACAGTATTAAAAAACAAGCCGAATAAAGAAAACATAATATAACAAGTAGAGGTGTGACGATACGGAAATGTCACAATATGATGCATATCGCGATATCTTGGAGCGATACGATTCGATTCGATCCATATCACGATATGCTATCTTTAGTTATTTTCTTTAAAAAAGTATATTTTGATAGCAAGTAACAGTGTAAATGTTTACATAACCGTCAATTTCTAGTGAACATTAACAGTTTTTAGGTCAATAATACATATCACGATACAAACAAAAGAACCGATATATTTATCGTCAGATAAAGTATCACGATATCGTCACAGCTTTAATAACAAGTTATAGTTATTATTTACAAATATATTAAATTGAAATATACCCATATAATGAGATTTTCGCTCAGCCCATCAGTTAAAATTCATAGTCATGTTTAACAAACATAAAGGTTGGCTACAGCAAACAGATACAGTTTAAATATATACATCTGGGAGATCAAATATTTGTAGATTCAATACCTAAGAGCACAACGTGGCTGCAATGTCTACACAAGTTTAATATCACCTATCATATTGTCATATAAAAGGGCATGGATTTATTACCAGGGTCTTATCCAAAGGGTCCTTTGTTAACACAAATTTCATTCATGCAATAAGAAAAACGTCATTCATTGGTGTATCATTTTGACATACTGGCCCCTTAAAGATATCGCTCAAATGTAGCCCTTGAGAAATATACAAGAGTGCTATAAATGACATGGAGGCAAACACTGAGGGTCGTAAACATGAAAGCATGACACTATCTCATGTTGGAGAGTCATAATTGTCTTAAGAGTCATAATTTTCCGCAATGAGAGTCATAACCGTCTGCTGTATGAAATGTAATCATCCACAGTTGGAGAATCAAAATTGTCCTCAGTATGGGTTAAAATTGTCTGCAATGACAAAATTATCGCAATTGTCTGCATAAAGTCAGTAATAATTATTAACAGTAGTATAATAATTACTCAGTTGTAGTGAGTGAGTATGGTTTTACGCCGCTTTTAGCAATATTCCAGCAATATCATGGCGGGGGACACCAGAAATGGGCTTCACACATTGCACCCATGTGGGGAATCGAACCCGGGTCTTCGGCGTGATGAGCGAACGCTTTAACCACTAGGCTACCCCGACGCACCCTGTTCAGTTGTAATTGTCCTCAGTGAGAGTCTGATGATAATTATCCTGAGTGAGTCATAATTGTCTGCAGATGGGGAGTCATATTTGATGTTAGCAGGAATGACAATTGAACTCAGTAAGTTTAAGGTCATTACTGTGTACATTAAGAGACTCTACAGTAGGAGAGTCATAATTGTGCTCAGTCAAAACTGTCTACAAGCTGAGAGTCATAATTGTCCTCAGTCAAAACTGTCTACAAGCTGAGTCATAATTATCCTCAAGTCATAACTGTCTACAAGAGGAGAGTTATAATTGTCCTCAAGTCATAACTGTCTACAAGAGGAGAGTTATAATTGTCCTCAAGTCATAACTGTCTACAAGAGGAGAGTTATAATTGTCCTCAAGTCAAAACTGTCTACAAGAGGAGAGTTATAATTGTCCTCAAGTCAAAACTGTCTACAAGAGGAGAGTTATAATTGTCCTCAACTCATAACTGTCTACAAGAAAGGAGTTATAATTGTCCTCAAGTCAAAACTGTCTACAAGAGGAGAGTTATAATTGTCCTCAACTCATAACTGTCTACAAGAAAGGAGTTATAATTGTCCTCAAGTCAAAACTGTCTACAAGAAAGGAGTTATAATTGTCCTCAAGTCTTAACTGTCTACAAGCTGAGAGTAATAATTGTCCTCATAACTGTCTACAAGAAAGGAGTTATAATTGTCTGCAAGAAGATCGTAGGGATCAAATGTTCATGATGTCAATCACTGGATTATCTGGCTTGATAACTTCCATCACTTACATAGCTGGAAGTGTGAACTAAACAAACTAAAGAAAAAATCATAATTGTCGGCAATGGTGGAGACCCCATCAACTGTCAACAGGCCATGTTTACATCGCCCAATAGTTACATGTAACGATGAACATCCCTCGTCAAAATACATTATCTGTAACATCAACATCAGTTACCGGTACCTTAAACTATACCAAAAATGCAAAGATGCAAATGTAACATTTCAATCCCATCATCCCATTGTTGTTTTCAATGTCAAAAAATCTTGAATATACAACAGTCAGGGGTGGAAATAACCCATTGCCCGACACCCAGTCCAGTGTTTTTTTCTGTCGGGCTAGCAAATTTGTATGTCACGCTGTACCGGTGTCCAGTTGACTTTACAATGTTAATTATGTTGTTTATTTAAAAAATCAACAAGAAAACGGGCGGTATAGTGGAAAAATTATCAGGGCAAGTGTTTTTACATGTGCCACTGTACCGGAGTACATAAGCAATTTTAAAGTTATTTCCATCCCTGAACGTTACATATCATTACGGCATTCACTATTAGATACCTATAAAATAAGCATCTTTTCCATCATGTTTTCCTAACAACTACTATCAACACATATATTTTGTAAATTACTGAAAAAGAAATTTTAAGGATATTTCAAAGTTCCCACTAACACTGACAAAGAAATTCTCTTGTGTGAACAGTTTCAATATAAAGTGGTTCCTGCAATTTAAAACTTCCAACTGACCAATCAGGAGCAAGTACTCATCAAAGGCAAAGGAAATTAACATGACAATGTTATCTCTCCTACATCTCAACAGACTCAAGTGTTTACATTGACAAAATTATCAAACACTTGTGACGAAGTTCATATAAGTAAATATTCCTGTTGCCAGTTGTCAGTCTCATTGATAGGACAAGACTGTCAATGCCCTGGGGTAAATATCTATATATACGCCAGGTCATGAAACTGACATGAAATACACATGAAGCAGTTATACCAACATTCCACTATGACAGATAAATGTACATGATATTGACGTTATTGATCAACAAGTGTATTATGTCTCTGGGTTAGGTTCATTGATGCTCAATAAAATATATGCATATGAATTATGGAATAATATTCATTCAAACAACTTTTTCATCAATTGAAATTAGGATGAAATGCACTTCTAAAAAAATGTTCAAAGTAATTCACAGTAATGAATCTAGACTTTGTTTAATTAATTTTGCAGTGAGAATTATTGGAGATTCTGAGACCTGAACATCATGGTCCAAAGCTGAGGGGGGTGGGGTAGCCCAGTGGTTAAAGCGTTTGCTCGTCATGCCGAAGACCCGGGTTTGATTCCCCACATGGGTACAATGTGTGAAGCCCATTTCTGGTCACCTAGACTTCCACCGTGATATTGCTGGAATATTGCTAAAAGTGGCGTAAAACCATACTCACTCACTCACTCCAAAGTTGACGACATGAGTCTAAACGCGTCACTTCACTAAAAACAACTGTCCAAGAACTTCATATTATATCACTACACATGCTTAGAGACCTTTAGCCCATCAGGGATGGGGCAATTCAATGTAAGATTAAAGAAAATCAACTATTTACACTTAAACTTTGTGAATATTTCTCACCAGAATAGGCGTGTCAGTTATACATACATGTTATTGTATTTTCAATTTACTGTTTGGCTTATTAATGATTCAAATGGCCATACATTGGTATTCCACAGGTCTTGCAAAGTCAGTTTACTTTCTACCATTCTCAATTTGTATGTGAGTAAGATGACATATACTGAACCTGGCGAAACCCTGCACAATCCAAAAAGGGTAGTTGAATCATTTGACTAAATATTATTTGACTGAATATCAACCTTTACATCATTTTCAGTATATTTAGTATTATTACATTTACAATTAGTATCTGAGCGTATACACCAAACAGAATTATACAAGATGGAGCTTCAATTGTTCAGGAAAAAACAGGATGCAAACATTTGTAAGCCCACTTAAATAAACATGAATACCTCTTAATATGCATTTCTAAAATTTCATAAAAACAGAACAGAAAGACTGACAGAATGATTAACAAAAAACAAAATGCCTGCAGGTTTGCTAATTAGCCAACAAATCAATAATTCCTCATCATGGAGAAATATGCCAGTGACACAGAATAACACCTGTTGCCGAGTCGGAACTACCCACAATGCACTATTAATGCACAGGTGTGGAGTATATTTAGGTTCATTCCAGTCTCAATATGAAGCAACACATTGTCTAAAAACAGGAGAGGAAAAATGTGTTAACTGTACACTGTGAAATGTTTGACATACCTTTGTGTCAATCGCTGTACACCATGAAATGTTTGACATACCTTTGTGTTAACTGTACACCATGAAATGTTTGACATAACACCATGAAATGTTTGACATACCTTTGTGTGTAACTGTACACCATGAAATGTTTGACATACCTTTGTGTTAACTGTACACCATGAAATGTTTGACCTTTGTGTTAACATACCTTTGTGTTAACTGTACACCATGAAATGTTTGACATACCTTTGTGTTAACTGTACACCATGAAATGTTTGACATACCTTTGTGTCAACTGTACACCATGAAATGTTTGACATACCTTTGTGTTAACTGTACACCATGAAATGTTTGACATACCTTTGTGTCAATCGTACACCATGAAATGTTTGACATACCTTTGAGTCAATCGTACACCATGAAATGATCTACATACAGTTTCACAAATTCAAACAAACAACAATACAAATCCAGCTAATCTGGTATATGGTCCAGAACAACTCCACGTTTTGTAATTTAAAAGCACATTTTTTTCTTTTTTATACTGAAAATATAGAATAAAGAGACCACTCATAATTTAACATGCATACAAGTCTGTTTGTTCTTTGAAAGCTCGAAAAAAATTGAAATTTGTTTTTGAAATGTAGCTGCAAAAATGGTTATACACAGGAAAGAAGTACTCATTCTCATTTACATACAGATTCTTGAAGTAAGGTTCCAACAATATTTCTTTATCAAGCAGTTAATACACTGTGAGTGTGAATGAGGTATGAAATATAACTATAAATTAAACGTAAATAGTGTAATCATTATATTAGTTGCAAAATAGTGTTGCACAAAACACATCACAGAATATGTAGTGTCTCGTTTCAGCATATTATACAAATACATAGACCCGACAGTATGTTTTAGTCAAGCTAAACATGAAGCCTGGGACCTTGTCAGAACTTTAATGGCAATTTTAAGGGGTTTGTCGAGTCAAATTTTATACCAAAGCTCAACAACCTAAGGACGCCTTAATTTCTTACACAGTAAACCAACAGCTCATATGGTTTAATCAATATCTTTATCACCATTGGACCTATTTGTACCAAGTCCTCTCGAGTCCCTGATATTGATCTGTTTCAATTGGATGAGGTTTTAGTTTACAGAAATGTTGTAGCATGTTTCCGTAGCTTCTCTTTCACATTTCATCACCATCCATGTACAAGCATGTAAAGTATTTAAACTTTTACTTTTAAGTTAACAGTGACACAAATGGTATCATGTGTAATTTGAGTCATTAGATGCAGTATTAGAACAAGGTATACCACAAGTGATGCTACACTGCAACCTTGCTAGTCAGGACTCCTGTAATCTGACGACAAACTTTCAAAATTGATGGTAGAAAAAATAAATATGATCCAACATATAATAATTCATCATTAAAGAAGATTATCTGGGAGTTTTTAAGGGAAAATGTTAAATAGACAGGGCTTAAGGTTTTATCTTGAATACAAAATTTAGTCCTTTGACAGGAAAATTGAAAAATTGCTAGTTTGAGATTTTCTTAAAAATCATATTTTCCTTAATTCAGAACACTCTGTATTTTAACATGGCAGTCAAGCAGTAATTTACAATCAAGCATTTTATTACTATATTTATATCCTCTTCTTTATTGATTCTGTCAGCAGTGAAATGCAAGGGACTTCCGCAACGCTAACTTTTTCCCGAACATGAACTTGGAAATTTCAACCAGGAAACTTTTACTGATATTTTGATACAGATCTATGCTAGCCTCTAAGTCTGTTAGTGTTAAGATAAAGCTGTGTAAAGTGGCACCTTTGTTAATGTGGACACATCAATCATCAAAGAAAAGGGAGAACAGACACAGGCTCCACCTACTGTACTCACGATGGGATTCAAACCCAGACCTTCCCGGAGAAATACCACTTAACACTAATCTACCCAACTGTCACTGTCTTAAATGACCAGGGTGCAGTTGTGCAAAGCCATCGTAGCACTATGGTGATTGTAACTCCCATATCTTAACATAGACTTACAACTGGCATCGCGCTAAGTCTTCTTTGTACAACAGCACCCATGGCTAAAGATAATTCTTAAGGCATTTTAATCACATTATTGTTCACATGGGGAATTGATAGTTTTCTCTGCCTATTCGGTAAATGTTGTTAAAGAAAAAGTACATGTAATTATCAGGTTGTCACTATAAAAGGCCACATCAAAATAATTATGTATTTCAATGTATTTCATTTTGACTTTTTATAATTTATATAATTTTAAGCATGATGAAATGAGTTAAAGACATATTGAGTCATTGACTGACATGGCAGAAAGACAAGGAAGTGATATTGACATGATTATCCTTATCCTTCCTTATTTCATAACATTGATGTGACACAACAGAAATCAAAACCGAATTAAAATAAATTTACACAATCATGTCAAAAGGACAAAAATATCATTCCTGTGAGCATAATTTTTTAAAATGTGTGCAGGTTATATTTATATCACGATTTCCATCAGAGGTATGGATATTATATTGAAAAATAATATGTATCAAGAGTTGATGTTCATTATTTTGAATGAAAATTACTCATAAAATCTACTACTTTTTAAATCTTAAGAGGTTAATGATTAAATATATTATAAAGCTTTTAAAAAATCACTTATCATAAAAAGACAGATAACTTTGTAATTTGCATATTGCATTTATAAATCACAAACAGTTTGACTTAAAATCTTTGTTAATTCTTATTTCAAGAATGCCACACAAAAGTCTCCAAGATTATACAATGATATGTTGGCGACAACAATTGCTTCTATTTCTTTTAATCAAAGTAATGGCAATTATCTGTCAGATCTGGGTACCATTAGTTCCGAGTTAAATTATTCAGCATAATACAGGTAAGTTACATCACCTTATGACGAATGAATAGAAATGAATGATGAAATGTTAATAAACAGAGACATTGTTGGAGGCTCTGCTAGCACAAAGACCATTCACTGGCGACAGGTGTGCTGAACACAAATTGACCATTACAATTTGACTTACTGTGTGCCTAAATCACATAACAACTTAAAGTTCAGTGAGCTTATTGTATAACGTTTCTGCACTCTACCATTCATTGCACTATATCCACATCTATCCTGGAAAGAAAAGAAAATAAAACGACAGGAAAGATGAAAGCGCCACAAGATAATCCCAATGGCAGTTTGACGGGCTCTCACCAGTCACTTCAAGTTGACCACGCTGCGCTAGGACACGCCCCTTTCCGAGTAAATGACCCGTCTCCGAAGTGTCGTGCTTTCTCAAGCGAAAATTCACCCCGTCCCCATTATCGACGGATGCGACTTCGATCAAACACGATAAACTTGGGATAGCATACACTAAATGGAAAGTCGAAACCATAAAACCTAGAACAGCTTTCTCAAACGTCACATGGTCCGTTTGTTTACGAATGTTCAGCGCGGTCCCGCTGCAAAGTTGGGAACTTTCGTTCACCACCTGTCAAATTCATGTTGAATTTACACGAAATCGAACCCGTTTCTAAACATGAAACTTGCCATACTTACTCATCTAAACAGTCTACATCGGTTATGCATTCTGAAAATTAAAATCTCACCTTTGTTTTAGTTCTAGTAAGTCGTTTTTGTGCCTTGGCTAGTATTCCGCCTTTACTGTTTTCAGCCATGTTGCTTATTGACTCTGACACTTGTGTCGTGGCTTCTCATTGGCTGAAAATCGAGATGCTGTCAAATTGCGTTTAAGGATGAGACCCAGGTAATCGCTATCACAATCCACACATGCCAAGGGGTACGTATATGTCATGGCTTGTCATTGGACCTCACCCTTTACACGTATGACTTCTCATATATACATTTCATTGATGCGCTTGTCAAGCATACCTTCTTGTCATCTAAATTACTCGATGACACGGAGAGACAATAGGACATATATTTCTAGCTCTGTCTTCACCTTGACATGGATGTGGCACGCATACCTAATATCATGTAAATTATAAACTGAAACGTGTTATGATATTATATTCCAACCGGTGTGTATCTTTTATGAATCATTTGTTTGTTTATTTTATGTTTGTCGTTTAACGCCACGCTTCATCGAGTCCGGGAGAAAGCGACCTCAGCACTATCCGTGTTTGGTAGAGGTGCTAAGATATGGGTTTATGGAAGGGAATAATCCAGTGATTGACATCATGAGCATTGGCCATTAATCGTCTTTTCGGACCTACATAGATTGCTGAAGACATTTTAAGGGGGTGGTTGTACGATTGATATTAGGGAAAATAATGATGTGACAAAATGCTAATTATTAAAAATAGCATAAACTTGAACAAAACCATATAACTATTTGTTCATATATATATTAACAATGTATGGATATTTTTGTAATCCAGGTAAGGAATGTTTGACGCAATATAAACAACTTGGGCATTGCTTTGCATCAGTGGAGATTGGTTGTCTTGGATCTGTGACGTGGTTGTTTGGGCATCAAACTGTTCCCGATGACATGGGTCGTTGCTTAACCTTCAGGCACTGATTTGCCTGACCCAGACCCGATAATATTTTCTCGATCAAGCAGGACTATTGCTGTCTTATTGGACAAGGGTGTTAGTGAGTATATAGTTTTGCGCAGCTTTTTGCAATATTCCAGCAATATCACGCTTGCTTTGAAATGAAGAAACCCGTCTCGAGAGCCTTATAGTGTTCACATGTCAACAATGCTACTGTGACGTCATAATCTATTATGACGTCATTGCACATTACATCGACAGTGACGTCTGTAAATCACCATGAAATGATGTCGGTAATAAATCACTTATGCTGTAGGATGCAATAATTATTATTACACATTAGTTATTTTGCTTGAAGGGTTTATTTGAGAACCCGCTTGTCCCGAACCACGTTGATAAAAAACTACGAACTCTGTAACTGCGAAAAATTATGAACTCTTTTTGGAACTGTTGTTTTTTTCACCCCCAAGACAAATATATACAGTGAAGAAAAAATACGTTTCCAAGACAAACTGACAGACAAACGATAGCATATATTTGAAAACTACATGACCAAACATTTACAACTGTTAACTAAACTTTACTAAGCTAAAAATACAGCAGTTGGACCACAACAAACCTAGGTCCAAAACATACAATGATATCCGCATGAAATACAAAACCATCTAACAACTATTTCTTGTTTATTTCATTTTTAGCCATCATCAAACATCGGTGTATACTTTCTTTTGCCCAAGAGTATATATAACTTAGTCATTTTCCAGCAACACCCGCAAAACATGTAACATTTTCCCAAGGTAAAGAGATACAACATGCAAGCACGAAAGCGTATATTAGCGCTCGGAGGGTCCCTTTAACACTCCAATCCATCACGAATTCGCCAATATCGAGTCCGCACATAAGGTTCCATAACGGAGCCTCAATTACAACCTACACCGCTGCCCACATGGCGTCTTGCGTCATCGGCGTCCGTCCTATTCTGTGATACACTACAGCACATGTTTATTGCCAATGACAATTTCCGGAAGCACAAGTTCTTAATATTCAAGCAATGAACATGGAAATATCGTATTACTTATTTACAAGATACGAAACACAGGGGAGATATCCAAGCCCTATTACCTGAAAATATTGTACCTAGCAGCGTTGGCGCTATTAATGTCATCACCTACTCTCTACTCGATTGCTGCTTAATCACATTTCCCTGGCCATATTGATTACTCCGACAATAGCTACTGCATTACCATGATAGTTTTAGCATCACAGGCATGGCTGGCCTCAACATGGATGGGTATTTTTATGCATGATAATTCGCAGGTTTTGCGCATGAATACCGTAAATTATATAGTAATTTGAATTATTGTGTGACCAATATTTCCTGTCATATTTCAGTAGTTACAACGTAGAGAGATAATCTTTATATAGCTTAAGTTTTCTGTGATTTCATGTAATTTTGTATACAAAATGTTCATGCGTAGATGACAGGCGGATCAATGTTAGGAACGCCTTTGCATACAAATTGGTCTATTCTGAAACGTGCCTTTATTGAATTAAAGTTTGTACGGCTCCACTAAAAATTGCATTTATTTAACATCCTGAACTAATCATTTCATGTCTTTCAGTGGCATTTAGAAGTTGTACATTGATGTCCAAGATATTTTTATGGATTTAAACTTCACGTCGTGAGAGAAATTAAAAAGAAGTTTAATCCATAAAAATATCTTGGTAATCATTTCATATATAAGAAACTTTTATTCGTGTTTGATAAAGGCTTGCAGCTTGATTGGTTGGTTTGTCGTTTAACGTCGCACTGAGCAATATTTAGGGATAACTGTACTGTGTTTGACGAATTGGGGACGTATACCGGTGGTTATATAGCCACAAATTTAGTTATATCGGCGACGCGTAAGCGGTGGGGTAGCCTAGTGGTTAAAGCGTTCGCTCGTCTCGCCGAGGACCTGGGTTCCATTCCCACATTGGTACAATATGTGAAACCCATTTCAGGTGTTCCAAGCCGTGATAATGCTGGAATATTGTGTAAAGCGGGGTGAAAACATACTCACTCACTCATTCTGATCAGCACATCTTTAATACATCAATCTGTTACTGATCATGGGCACATCTTTAATAAATCAATCAGTCAGTTACTGTGGCCCTCTGTTTTGCACATGTTTTTGTTTTTTTTATTGTTATTTATGTCGTTTAGGCATTATATTGATTTTGATTAGAGTCGATATTAATTTCTTGTACATGTATTGTGTCTTTTGAAACGTCACGTTTCTGTTAGCATGTGCGATATCTGCGCAATGGTGTAAGTCTGCCATATCTTTTCTGGCACCGAAATATGTCTCGTTTGTCAAGTTTATATTACTCCAAAATGGGCATCTATCGCTTAAGATGATATATGCATTACTTACTAATATATAGGACATTTCTTGCGTCCGATTACCCCCTCTAAGAGGGGCGGTGAGGTAGCCGCTCGTCACGCCGAATTTAAGGCCCGGGTTCGATTCCCCACATGGGTACAACGTGTAAAGCGTATTTCTGGTGTCCCCCGCCGTGATATTGCTGGAATATTGCTAAAAGTGGCGTAAAACTAAACTCACTCATTCTCGCCCTAAGACCTTTGTAATTCTGTAGCCTTGTGGTTCGTGTGTTCGCTCGTCACGCCGAAGACCCGGATTCGATTCCCCTCATGGGTACAATGTGTGAAGACCATTTCATGTGGTTCAGGACAAGTGGGTTACCCAAATAAACCCTGGTGGAATATTGCGATAAAAGCGGCGTAAAACCATACTCACTCATTCACTGTATGTCTATATATTTAACAACGTGCAAGACTGAAGATGTGGACGCTACAATAACGAATTTGGCATTATATAGAGCCCAGCAGTATGTAAGATGTGTTTAAACTCACATGCATATATATGGCACGTTTTGTAGATACATTGTGTACATGCAATTGTTCACCGCCTTGCAAATACTTTTTAAAAAGAGACTGTTCTTTATACGATCCATTGCACGTCTCCACCATAAGGAATGGGCAACCGAGGTTATGAAGACAAATATGCTACAACGTAATTACAAATGAAGGAAGAAGCGATGATAAATACTGCGTTGAACAGTGATGAATAGATGGGAGGCTCGACCCACTTAACGCTGGGGCCACGTTTGGCGACACGCCAAGCCAGGAGTCACGACTCGTATGTATAAGCTGAAGAATGTAGACAATGTTTACTCACATAATATGTACATATTCAGCGATATAGTGTGTCCGTTTACTGTGGTCACGCTCGGCTGAGTTTTATTGTCGTTATGGTACTGCTCTGAAATGTTATCTTTGTTTTAAGTGATTATCATAATGTTTGCATGTGGTTTTAGAAGTATATCTTTTATGCCGTTAAGAATGAGTTCTACATAAGTAGCGAGTTTAGCAGTGCAACTGCCATTGCTAAAGACGGGCTAACATTCATGGGTCGTAATGGTGAGTGGTTTAAGTTTAACATCGCATTGGCCTTTATTCAGCTATTATTTTATCGATAGTGACGGGGCTGTTAATTATGGAAGATTATTACTGACTGACTGAGTTTGGTTTTACGCCGCTTTTAGCAATATTCCAGCAACATCACGGCGGGGGACACCAGAAATGGGCTTCACACAATGTACCCATGTGGGGATTCGAACCCGGGTCTTGGGCGTGACGAGCCAACGCTTTAACCACTAGGCTACCCCGCCGCCCCTATGGAAGATTATTAAGTAACTGAGGTAAAATTACTTTTGATAAGCATTATAGTATACAATACTAAGCTGATAGTAAATCGATTCCCGAAGATCATTGTTGATTTCAGTCACTGGTTTTTCTGGTCCAGATTCGATGTTTTAGAGATCACCTGGCAACAGCTGGAATATTGCTGGGTGCGGCGTTTAACAATATTCCCTTACTCAAGCATTGTATCCTGCAACAACGGACGTTTTGTTTATAGTGAGTGGGTGAGTTTAGTTTTAAGCCGCTTTTAGCAATATTCCAGCAATATCACGGCGGGGGACACCAGAAATGGGTTTCGTACATTGTACCCATGTGGGGAATTAAACCCGGGTCTTCACCGTGACGATCGAACGCTTTAACCACTAGGCTACCCCACCGCCCTTTGTTTCTAGTGC